CAATCAAAAATTTTTGCCTGGCCCAATAGGGCCTCAGCCCAATGGCCGTTCAGCGACCGAATAACACCCCCGCTGGGGATCGCCAACGCACGAAGTGCCTTGCCCAACCTCATTTCAATGATCCATGCGACGTAGGAGCATGTCCTGACACATGACATCAACACTAACCTATTGGACTGGGAACATATCTGAATATAATATCTCACGCACATGTCATTTTTTGGTATCCGAAGCAAGTATCGTCCACCCTGCTGCGTAGCGTTAATAGGGAGACGGACTATGCCACTCGAACATGCCGCTCTTGATGTGGATGTTTCTTCAACCTGAAGAGAAAGAATAATAGGCAAGATTCCCGGGATCACACGGTGAAGAAAAATGTGCTGCATACCAGTCTTGGAAAAGGCATGTCTATCTCTGCCACAGTCTGAGAACGAGTTGCTGAAGTGGTTCTCAAGGGTGCACGAGAAGAACTTGAGTTTCTGTCTCGATACGTAACCAGCTGTCTCTGGAACAATCGACTGATAATGATTTTTTTCCACCCTATTTTCACTGACTAGCCGCTGGATCGCAACACAATCGAGCAGTCTCATATGAAATAGAAAAACTGGATGAAAAACACTCGGAACTCCCGTTCGCTAATATTTACAGTGTAAGTGCAACCACTGTTTGCGACCGTGTAGAATCAAAGAATCCGGGAAAAAATAGGTATGGACGATATTCCAATCGGAGGGGAGAGGGGGTGGGGCAGGGGCATACCGAAGTATTTTAAATTTCCGCTGAGGGCGAATGGTAAACAGCGCATGTCAGACGGAAAAAAAACCGAGAAAAGTCAACAACCGAAAACACTCTCCACGAAGGCAAACACGGCCTCCCTCCCTTCAGCGACCCAATACAATCCCCCTCGCTAGAGCTCCCCGGCGATTCAGATCGCCCTGAAGACAAGGGCTCTGATGTGGAACTCGAAAGGGAGACTCTTCAGATTGAAGTCATTTGAAACGGCTAGGTACGGAACCCATAACATCCGTGAGGAATTTGAGCCAGATTGGGATCGCGCAAGACGAACTATTGCATGAAGATGCCGCGCTATGTTGAAATAGCGTCTAGATGAGTATTGGTCGAGCGGAACAGGAAAAATGGAAGAATGGGAGAATCCTGGGGCAACACAAGTATTGATTCGATTGATTCTGCCCTCTAACTTTCTGGAATCCGCAATTCTGAGAAGCTGTAGATTGAACAATACCTAGGCTGCATTCATCTTGCTGCACTGGGCAATCGGAGAATTGTGGAAATGGGAAAACTGAATCCGTGGAAATATTGATCGATATTGATGATGGATATTGATATGGATATGTGAATCAGAGAATCCGCGAAAAAGCTTAGATACGCAACGATCGTTGGGTGGGCGGCCTCGCTTCACAGAGACAGAGATTTATACTCCGAAGAAGGCGAAAAAGGCGAAACGTGAGCCGAATAGGAGACTAGACGTACCCACTGACACCGCCAGGCTGGAGGATCAGAGCACTGGGAATGGGGAATCGGCGAATCAAAGACTTAGAATTGGTGAGCAACTTTTTCGCGCATTCTCGGTGTCACAGATTCGTCGCATGGTGTGAACGTAGAGTTAACGGTGCTGTCACTTGAACTACCACAGGGGCCATGAAAGGGTGTGTTCATACTTAGCGTCAGCATTTTGAGCGTACGCCAGCGTTCAACGTTTTGAGAGAATATGGTAGTATAGATATCGACCTAGCGTTTTCAGCGGCTCCGCGAAAAGCTCAAAATTACGCATAAAACGTTGCCAATGCTAGATCGATGCTTCCCTAGTCGCTCGACACGCTATCGTCCACTCAAAACGCTGACGCAAAGTATGAACGCACTCAAGTATGCAGTAAAAAGGGATCATGAAAACAACAATGTCGACTAATTGGCTCCTGTGTTTTAACTCACTATTTGAAAAAGATTTAAACATATAACAAAAAAACATAAGAAAACATACGCTGAGTGGTGAGAACTTATTGGTGACGTAAGTGGTTCGCACTGAAGTCAATCCTGGAGGATCTGCTTTGTACCTGACGGAGGACTCATCGCTACCGTGGTCTCGAAATGATGAGGTTCCAAGAGGCAGCATGCTCATACTCCTAAAAGCATGGAACTTCAAAAGAAAATGTCACGCAATGACTGTTTCTTTGAGACGAACGAAACAACTCAGCAATGAGGAGGAGGGGGGGGGCATATTGGTAATTTCTGTCAACTTGCCGGCCACTTTCTGAAGACCTGCGAACTCTTGTTAAGGCTTGAAGTGGTGCGATCACACTTTCTACGTTATTTTTCGATTTTTCGTTAATGTTAGATAGAATTTAGTGGTAGGAGGTGCATGGAACGACTGTGGCTCGGATAAGTGCTTTTGCCGAAGTCAAAGGGGAAAAGGCCGGGGGTGGACCAACCAAAGCCTTCGAGCCAAGAGCGGCTCTCGCCTTTCATAAGGAAACATTCTTCTGATCTGAATAAAACGTTTTGCTTGTGGTTTGAATCTTAGGTGACGGGGGATGTCTACTGGCCCGGAATACTGTAGTAGATATCCTATACAAAGAGTGGCACGCACCCGTCCCCAGCTTTATAGTAGTTCACAAGAGTTTACAGGATTTCACAAAGAATCATCCGGTATGTTGACAAAAGTTCACAAAATACCCCCGTATCGTTACATCCTAAATACCATTTGGAATGAAATGAACAAATTCTTAACATCACATTACTCATAAAAAAACAGACACTATGATAGTTTATGAGTTCATAAGGTTAAGCGCGACCACATAAACCACTAAAAACCGGGTGATAAATTTCATGCGAAGTCAAAATCGATTTCACTGGCAGTGGTCCAGCTGTTGGAGCTGCTCGGCGCCGTCGCGACAACTTTTGCGGCATTTGCAACTTCGCCGACGAGCGCTCTTATGAAAAAGAGCAGGGTGTGGTACGGACCCTGTGGTCCCACTATCCATTAGATCATGGTCCTTTGCAGGGACCATGAATAATTAATGACAGGTATGACTCAAATAGCTACAGAAAACCAGGAAATAATCTCTGTTGAACAATCTGTACTGGAGTAACTTTTGCGCTCCGGAAGCGTCTCAGTGGAGCACATAATCTTAAGACAAATAAAATCTAAATTCAATCCCCTTCAGGCGCTCACGTAGTTGAGGGGGGACACTTGTTAGTGATTTCGTATCCTTCTCTCTAATCAAGGCTTAGGCTCAGTTAAAACTATGTTTTTTCCTGCAGGACTTCACAGCAGGTGGTCGTATGCGCCCTGAGCCTGAACGTTTTTGGGGAGGGTATACATAGACGCGGATAAGTGGTCCCCCTCCCAACAGCGTTACCGTCCCTCTTCATTCCTCCTTGCTGCCATTTCCACGTTTATCATTATTTCTTTCAAGTCAGTGTTTTTCTGTGCTTTCTGAGGTCGTGAAGGTTTTGGCGTAGTGTGTCTTACATATATAAATGTGACTGCGGCTTATGTTAAGATCTTTTTGTAGGAGATGGAGGGGGGGAGGGGTGAAGGGGTCGAAGTGCGAGATTGACGGGTGTATCTAAAACTCACCACTTTCAGGGAAAAGCTCTAGGGAATGTGCCACGGGCGACGGGACGTCTTACCATATCATGTCTTGTCTTGTCCATTTCATTTTGACTTGTTTTGCCACGTTCTTCGGAATATTTAGTATAATTATGGTACGTCTCCCGAATGTTTAGTGTGTTATGGGGTGACAGGCAAGAGGATCGTGATTTGCCGCTCGCCGCGCGCGGCGATGGGCGCGGCGTTTTCTAACTCGTGTTAACCTGTCGACTGGAGCACCGGACTTCATGTAGACCCCGTCATCAGACATTCATGACTATTTTCGGTTCTGAATTGCCTGTTGTCGCCATCTACTACCTGGAACCATCGTCATTTGCGGGCGCGACGTCGCACGCGACGCCCACCGGCGTGGTGAAGCACGATTCTCTTGTCACATTCCTGTGACTACGATGTGCTACTTTTCTACTCGGTGAGAGAACGCAGACGGTCAGAGATGGCGTAGTATGGGAATCCATCGTGCTGGCGCTCTACAGGTACCACAACTAATCGTAGAAGTGCTTGAGCCGCACGATCTACAGCGTATTATGAACTATGAGCGTATTAATTCCCCGTTATATAACGTCACAATTTAAGTCATTCCCATAAGACTTTTTTTAATTTATTTGTTCCACCTTCGTGAGTTGATCATGGAACTGGGAAAAAAAGTCGTGAATTCTTTGGTTAATTTGTAGTAATTTGATATGCAATTGCATTTCCAGAATGCTGTCGCAACCTGCGAACAAGAAACGGAAAACTATAGTTGTGGAAGTAGAAGACGAAAGTGACGACGATATTCACATCATCGATGAAAGACGTCCGTCTAGTCAACGTACCTGTGACGAGTTTAATCCCCAAGATAATCCTGAACAATTCTACACTCAACGACAGCATCCCAAATTTCATACGCGTAATTTGGAGAGAGCAGTCAAAAAGGAAAGTGAGTTGCTGTATAGCCCAAGGGTTCTATGGAATCAAATTTTGTAGAACGAAGAAATTTTGCACAGGATTGTTATGGAGGTGACCGTTCAATGTTCACCTTATACAGGAGCGTGGTCAAAACCATTACCTGAAGTTCACGATCTTTTTTTCGTGGCCACTGCGCCCAAGAACTTTGAGGATCTTGCCATTAACCCCAAGCAACTGCGCAAAGTAAGTGTTCAAACCTGAAAGCAGCTTATTTTTATTGACTTATTGGCGACAAGGTATTGGGGAGGGGGGGAGGGTTAGGGAAGAGTGTTAGGTGAGGCGGCGTTCATA